AGTCTATAATTTCTTCAATCCCCGCGGTTTCAAAAAAAAATAAACCATATATAAGTATTATTAAATAACGATATATAACAGCACCAATCAAAAAACCGGAAAAGGATATGAGGGCTGATATTCCGGGGGACCAATCCATCGTTTGACAAATGAATAATGATCAAGCGATAACCGTGGTTCTGGCTGACATTATTCAGGCTTACTCTCTTACATAACTCTTTTTCTTCCTTCTTTTCCCTTATTCGTTTCGTGCTACCCCAAACAGTATCTTTTTCTCTCTTTTCGTTCGCATTCACTCGCGACGTTATTGAAATGGTAAGCTGGTGAACTCGACTGGAGACCCGCAAGGGTGACGAGCATACGCACCTCTTCCTCTTTACATGCGCTCTCTCTCTCTCTCTCTCTCTCTCTTCCCCCTCTCTATCTATCTATCTATCTATATATCTATCTATCTATCTATCTATCTATCTATCTATCTATCTATCTATCTATCTGTCTATCTACCTATCTATCTTTTTTCCCAAACACGTGGTCGCGATATAAATAAATGGTGAATACAAGAAGAAAAAAGGCCCTCGTGCGTCTTCTCCAGGTGAGTTGACAGGTAGGCGCATAGGTGTTACAGGACAACAGGTAGAACATTAGTCAAGTGCTTCGTTGCTGTTCGTTCACCGACGCTTTGCGCTCTTATGTCGCGCTTACGACTTTTATTAAATGGGCTTCTTGCTAGAAGTTAAAATGGATAATTCTAATTTTTGTTAATTTTTCAATTTCGTTAGTTAAGTGCAATAGTGAATAAATATATAAATGGGAAAAATTCTTATTCTTTGTTATAATTCAATTTATACTTAATACAATTTATACTTCCTAACTTGTTGACGTAGTTTTTCTTTTAATAATAAAAGATATGTATATAGTGATATAATAATTCCAAATTTAAAAGGATAAATCGAATATAATTTTAAAATATGTTCAGTTTTTATTATTAGAACTTAGTTTTTCCGAATTAATGGTATGGCTTTTAGGTAACAACTCATAATAAACGATTCCCTTCCAGTCCCACCAAGTGCATAGCATAACTTTTTCCGAATGTAAACTGGCTTTTGCGCTGGTTGAAGGGACATCATCGCGCTTGGATCATGATCTCTATTCTTAACGTTATTATACATAATATATTTTTCATCGCCTCTAACCATCCACTTTAAAAATGGATCAATTTCATTGCGTTTCAATAGAGAATCGCAAGCAGAAATTCGGTCCATCAAATTTTTCTTCGTTAACTCACGCGGCACCCATACATCCGGCCTTGCTAATTGACATAATCGTCTTGACATTGTTGACTGGTTGATTTAATCACTCTCAATCGATCGTCCAGAGCGTGGTGCATCGCTAAAATCAAAATTGTTTTGTCTGAACTACTTACAGCACGTGGAATCGTCAATAGCACGCAGCGTACATCTTTTGCGAAATATTCTTGCCTTTTCAGAAATAAAAAAGCATAATATATCAAAAATGCTTCTTTATTTTCTGCATTTTCAACACCTAATAAAATTTACTTAATAACCCAACCAAATAACACAATTTCGTTCACTCGTTGAAATTCCTTCTCTCGAACGACACACATAAAGTAGATAACACTTCGGTTGCGATGCAACACCACTATCAAGCGTCAAAACGAAACGAACTTTTGCATCAACCCAATACAAAGCGTGTAGAAGTTCTCTCTAAAAATAATTTTCGATTATAGGTCAGACTTAGGTCAGACAAACGAGCAAGTCATAACAAAACTGATATCCTTTGTTTTGTAAAACATATTTTTTAACTTGAGACATTTATAGCAATATTATGTAAAATTATAAAATTGCCTTTGATAATTCTTCGTGCGTGTTTATTAAGTAACTTAATATTATAATTTAAATTTAAGCATTTTTGGTTATTTTTACTTTTGAATCATGAATTGATTTTACATTTACATCCAATTCCATCCCGAATCATCACATTATCATCACCAGCCATATTTATCATCGCTTCTTCATAATTTTCTTTTTCATTTTATTTTTTTTTTTTTTT